GTACGTGCGGGGCAACCTTAGCTCCAAGGAGGTGAGTACGCCGAGCCCTCCCAGGCGCCCGCCGGGCCCCGGGGGCACTGGAGGGAGAGGAGGGGAGGAGTGCCGCCCCGCCCCCTGCCGCCCCTCCCGGCGGGCCCTGGGAGCCGCAGAGGGATGGGGCAGGGGGCGACGGGAGACTGGGCCGGGTCGAGACTGAAGGGGGCCGTGGGGTCGAGGCCAGATTTGGGGGTTATAGGAGGGACATTGAGGTCAGAGCTGGGCGAGGAGGGGAAGTGGGTTGGGAGACAGAGTTTGGGAGGGGGGCCGCGGAGGTGGTGCTGAAGGGACAGCACTTTTCACTCAACCGAGAGCCCCGAGTTCACCACACTCCCACTCTCCTGCTCAGGACCAAGAGGGGCCCTCCGGGCCAAAATGTGGCCGTCTGGAAGAGTCCCCAGCACGGGATGGTCTCTCGGAGCACTGTGGGGGTGGGGCGGGCGTGTGTGGATATTGGGGAAATGGAGTCAGATGGTGGCCAGGAGATGAGGTGGCCAGGAGATGAGGCGGCCGGGATGGGTATCCCTCCGAGGTCTTTCTCAGGGCTCCTGGGAAATGGGAGGAGTGTTTGAGTGGAGGGGAAGAAACTTGGGGGGCAGCTGAAGGAGAAAATCAGGGCAGCAAGAATCGTGGACGCATGGTGAAGAGATGGGGAAGAATTTTGCAGGGGACTTGGTCTCCTTATGGTACTTGGGAAATCAGGTAGCTGAGGGTAGGGGAAAAAAGTTGGGGTCTATGGAGTTGAGGAGAGTTCTCGAAGGACTCAGCAGAGGGTCTGACTGGGTCCCTTTTCCAGGACTGGGTGTTCCTGACAAGATTTTGTTTCCTCTCGGATTACGGTCGACTAGACTTCCGTTTCCGCTACCCTGAGGTGAGTCTCTTCCAATACTCACCATGCTGAGGCTGGATACTCACTTGGTCTCCAGAGGCACCCCAGCTCCCAGCGATCCTCCAACCCCCAAATTTTTGGGTTTGCAGGCCAAGTGCTGTCAAAACATCCTCCTCTATTTCGACGACCCATCCCAGTGGCCAGCTGTGTACAAGGCAGGGGACAAGGTGAGGGCTGTGAATAAAGTGTAGGGGGAGGAGGGAGGAGGTCATGCTTGGCTGGGGAGTGACTCTGTTCCTGCCTTCTCCAGGACTGCCTGGCCAAGGAGTCAGTAATCAGGCCGGAGAACAACCAGGTCATCAACCTCACCACCCAGTATGCCTGGTCAGGATGTCAGGTGTGGGTCCAGCCTGGGGGAGTGGGCCGGTGATGAAGGCTGAGGACTTGGGGGCATTGAGGACAGGCTGAGGACTTGGGGCATCAAGGGCAGGCGCCAGCCTTCTTGCTTGTCCCCAGGTGGTGTCAGAAGAGGGAACCCGCTACCTGAGCTGCTCCAGTGGCCGCAGCTTCCGCTCAGTGCGTGAAAGGTGGTGGTACATTGCACTCAGCAAGTGTGGGGTAAGGGGCTGAGAGGGCTTCCTGGTCCTTCTCCTCTTCTCTTCCATCCTGCCGATGCCCTATCTGCCCAGGGCCCCCCTTAATCCTCCCACACTTCCCACAGGGAGATGGACTGCAGCTGGAGTATGAGATGGTCCTCACCAATGGCAAGTCCTTCTGGACACGGCACTTCTCAGCTGATGAGTTTGGTGAGCACGTGGGGACCCAGAAGCCAGGATCTCTGTGGAGTACCAGAGCTGGGTGCCTACTGAGAGGACATTCACTTGAATAAACTCTCCTCCTCCCACTAATTGGCAGGAATCTTGGAGACAGATGTGACCTTCCTCCTCATATTCATCCTCATCTTCTTCCTCTCCTGTTACTTTGGATGTGAGTCCAGTACACAGGGGTGTGGGGTGGGAGAGGAGATATGGGGGGGAGCCGGGTTGGGGGAGATGAGCTAGTTTCCCTTTCTGCCTGTGAACAGCCTTTACCTGCCTTGCTCCCTAGATCTGCTGAAAGGTCGTCAGTTGCTCCACACAACTTATAAAATGTTCATGGCCGCAGCAGGAGTGGAAGGTGAAGTTTAGCGTCTCAACTACTGCATTCTGTGGAAGGAAGGACTTAGGGCTGAGAGGAATGCCTGGGAGCTTGGACCCCTGGGTCGTGGGGGAGGAGGGACTAGGAGCTGGGGTCACCTAGCAGGTCAATGGGTATAGATGGTCTAGAGTCCTGTGGGGGCCGAGAGTTTCAGGCCACCTGGATCACAGTGCTAGAGGACAGTGATGGCCAAAAGCTGGCTTCTGTCTTTTCCTCTCTCTGCCCCATCCTCTCTATCCCCAGTCCTGAGCCTCCTGTTTTTCTGCATCTACTGGGGTCAGTATGCCACCGATGGCATTGGCAACGAGAGTGTGAAGATCTTGGGTGAGAATGAAGTGGGGCTGGGGGAGGGTGGGGTGCTTGGCTCAGGTTGGGGTCCTCTCTGAGCCGCCCTCTCCTCCCTTCTCCCAGCCAAGCTGCTCTTCTCCTCCAGCTTCCTCATCTTCCTGCTGATGCTCATCCTTCTGGGGAAGGGATTCACGGTGACACGGTGCCCGGGCAGGGAGTGCTGATGGGGTTGCTGGGCTGGGGAGCAGGGCAAGGAGGGGGGCAGGGGGGTGGCTGCATCCTCCTCCCTGACGCTTCCCACCCCTACTGTCTCCCCTCATGGCCTGCTGCCAGGGGCCGCATCAGCCACTCGGGCTCTGTGAAGTTGTCTGTCTACATGACCCTGTACACTCTTACCCACGTGGTGCTACTCATCTACGAGGCTGAAGTGAGTCCCACTGGCCCCTGCCCAGGCCCCACCCCCTCCTCACTCTCCCCACCCCATCAAAGCTTTTGGCAGAGGCCTCCTCCTTGACCTGTCTGCTAGCCCTTCCCCACATAGTTCTCTTGCTGGCACTCACTCTCCCACTCTGATTTTCTGCCTTCCCATCTGCCCAAGTGATTCCTCCCCTCTTTGCCATCTCAAGTAGCTTTCTTTCTCCTCCCTCTGTCTCTCACTGTCACATTTATGTTCAGCGTCATGACTAAGAGTTCAGGAGTCACTCAGACCTGGATTCCATGCCTGCTCTCCCACTTCTTAGATGACTGACCTTGGGTGGTGACCTCCCTCCCTGGGCCTGCTTCGTCTTTGGAAAATTAGGAGGATCTTATCTACCCCAGGGAACTCCTAAGGCTTTATATCACCTGTATGGCTTTGGCCAAAGGACTTCCCTCTTAGCCTCAGTTTTCCCTCTTAGCCTCAGTTTCCTCTTCTGTGAAATGAGATGAAAACAAGACCTACCTTGTTGAGTTGATGCTGATGGAAAAGCTCACACATGGAAGGTGTTTAGTCCCATGTTGGGCACACGATAGTCCCGCTTCTTATCCTTTTTACCCTCTCTCTCTGCTTGATAAGTCTCTGTCTCCATTCCTGACTCTCCTGATGCTTCTGTTCTGATGGAGTACCTTGGTTCCCTGGGTGCTCAGGGTGGGGTTCAGGGAGCTTGATGGAGGGCAGGAGGCCATGATGAACCCTCTCCTGTGGGTCCAGTTCTTTGACCCGGGCCAGGTACTGTATACATATGAGTCGCCGGCCGGCTATGGGCTCATCGGGCTGCAGGTGGCGGCCTACGTGTGGTTCTGCTATGCCGTGCTCGTCTCACTGCGTCACTTTCCTGAGAAGCAGCCCTTTTATGTGCCCTTCTTTGCTGCCTACACCCTCTGGTGAGACTGGTGGGCCCCCAGCCTGTTCCTGCCTCCCTCCTGAGTTCCCCAGAAGTGGCTACTGCCCATCTCAGACCCTCTTTCATGAGGAAGAGGGATCTTCAACTCAGGCAGCTGTTACCCAGAATCTGCCACTGGGAAGCTAAGGCCCACAGAGTAGGAGTCACACTTACTCTGTGACCTTGAACAAATTTACTTTTCCAAAGTTAAAATAAAAAAGAAGTGAAAGTAAAAAAAGGCATCAGGTTGCTTACCCATAAAACAATGTTGTCAATAGTATCTCCTGCAAAGAGTTATCTTGAGCATTCATAGGACAATATATGAAGGTTGAATGTTCCTGCAGCTCCAGGAGAGGTTGGAACACAGTAAATGTTCAATAAAAACTGTTGTAGGCTGGGCTCGGTGGCACAGCCTATAATCTCAGCACTTTGGGAGGCTGAGGTGAGCAGATTGCCTGAGGCCGTGGGTTCAAGACCAGCCCGGGTGAGACCTCATCTCCACAATAAAATAAAAAGTTAACTGGGCATGGTAGCGCACGCCTGTAGTTCGGCTACTTGGAAGGCTGAGGTGGAAGGATTGCTTGGAGTGGCCGTGAGACGGAGAGAGACTCCAACTCAAAACAAAACAAAACAAAACAACAACAACAAAAACTATTGTAATTATTTTCATTCGGCATAACACAGTAGTAAGGTTGGTAGATTCCAAGCCAGACTGCCTGAGTTCAGATCCCAGCTCTAAAGCTTATAAGCTGTGTGACCTCAGACAAGTCCATTAATTTCTCTGCCTCAGTTTCCTCTCTTGTTAATGGGGATGGAACTGCACCTGCCTCATAGAGTCACTATAAGAGTTAAATGAATTTATATGTGTAAAATACTTAGGAAGTGACCTGGTATGCAGTAAATTCATAGCTATTATTATTTGTTAACTCATTCATTAAACTCCAGAATCTGGAGTAGGGTAGAACTCAGTTACATTCAACCTAGTCCTTGACCCCCACCCCCCGACTTTCCCAGGTCTGTTTCACCCTCTGGCTTCTGAAGGTCACACTGGCTTCCCTTCTGTTTAGGACCTGCTTGGGGCCCGTGTGTGTGCATGGCAGGGGGAGTGGGGCCATGGGATTGGGTGGAGGGCAAGGACAACATCTCTACTGACCCAGTACCTCCTCTTCAGGTTCTTTGCGGTTCCTGTCATGGCCCTGATTGCCAATTTTGGGATCCCCAAGTGGGCCCGGGAGAAGATTGTCAATGGCATCCAGCTGGGGATCCACCTGTATGCCCATGGTGTATTCCTGGTGAGTATGGGCATCTAGGCAGGTTGGGAAGCTAAGGGTGAGGCTCCCACATCTGATCTGCTGGACCCTCCTGTTCTGAGCTCTTGATCCATTTCCCCATTAGTCATTCAAACAGTTATTGAGAGCCTGCTGGGTTCCTGCAGGGTACTCTGCGCCCAGAGTCCCTCTTCTATTTCTCTCTCCTATTTTTGGCCTCTCCCCCAAACCCCCCCATCCTTCTTTGCCCTTCCTTCCCATTTCCATTCCTGAAGCTGTGTCCCAAGACTCTTACATGTCTCTTCTTTATCCCCATTGCCTTTACCAAGCCCCTTTGTCTCTATTCAATCTTTCCTCCATGTATTTTCCCATCACAGGCCATTATTCAGGAAGAAGCAGCTGGGATGGGACAGGCTGGGGCTCCTGGGGGCCTGAATCTTAATGGTGTTGTCCAGACCTAGGCATTAGGAGAGTACCGGCATCAGATCTACTCTTTGCTCTAGTTCACATCCTATCTGATCTTGATGACAGTTCTCATATTCATTATTCATCTATCATTAATTTATTCATTTATGAACTGTTCACTGGGCACCTATCTTGAACCAGCCTGTTTCATGCTAGGAACATCTGTGTGCATTTACTCCTGCCCTCTTGTTTAATTGTCAGAGCAGCTCCAGGAGAGGATGGATAATGGATACTGTACCCACTATACAGAGAGGGAAAGCTAAGGCCTAGAGAGTGGAGGTGACCTGGCAGGGCTCCATGGCTTCTGGTGGCAAGGCGGGCAATTTTTTTTTTCTGAGTTGGAGTCTCACTTTGTCACCCAGACTGGAATGCAGTGGCCGCTCCCGGCCACCGCAGCCTCGACGTGCAGGGCTTTGGTGATCCTTCCGCCTCAGCCTTCCAAGTAGCTGGAACTACAGGCACGTGCTACCACGCCCGGCTCATTTTGATTTATTGTAGAGATGAGGTCTCGCCAAGTTGCCCAGGCGGGTCTCGCACCCGTGGGCTCAGGCAATCCACTCACCTCAGCCTCCCAAAGGCGCAGGATTACAAGCTGAGCCACCGAGCCTGGCTTAAGGTGGGCAATTTTAACCTCGTCCTCCAACAGACCACAAGGTCTGGCATAAGCAGGGAGCCAGAAGAGGAGATAGGCATCACTGAGTTTGGGGAAGCTCCTAACTCCAGGGATCTACATGTATATTGTGTAGGGAGTTTCCTCAGCTGCTGAGGGAGGGGGGGCCATCCTCCACCTCAGAGCCTGACTCAGGTACAGACTCACTCACCTTCCCAGGCTCTGCAGGAAGTCAGAAAGTGACAGGAAGAGAAGAAACACTGAGAACCCATCATGTGCCAGGCTCTGCACCAGTGGTTTTCATTTCTACCCTCTCATCTTTCCAAGTAGGCACTGCAATCCCTTTTCCCTGGTGAAGCTCAGGGAGTCTAATCAACGTGCCCCGGTCCTACACTCAGCGATCTATGGAACCTGAAGGTGGGATGCAGGCTCAGAATGCCAAACACGGCGCCCTTTGTGCTGTATCTCAGCCAAGTTTCTTCCTAGGAATGCTCATGTTAGCTCAGCACAGCTCCACCTCTGGAAACTACCCATTGGTTTCAGCTCCTCATTCATTTGTTCGGCACAGCCTTGGAGGAGCTGCGCTAGGCTTCTAGGATGTGGCATTGGAGTCACACACAGCCCCTGCCCTTATGGCCTATCAAACTAACTGGTGCCAGACATTCCTATATTCAACCAGTATTTATTGAGGGCTTATATGTGCCCGACACTGTTCTAGAAGGTTCTGGAGATTCAGCAGGGAACAGAAGAGTCAGGTTCCTGCCCTCATCGAGCTCACTTTCTAGAGTCATTAACTGCAGTCCAATTGACTGTGTTTATGAAAATATTCTACTACCTGTGCTGTCCAATATGGTAGCTACTAACCACATATAGCTAGAGAGCACTTGAATGTGAGTAGTGTGACTGAGAAACTAAAATTTTAGTTTAATTTTCATTAAATTTAAGCCACATGTGGCTAGTAGCCGTCATACTGGACAATGCAGAACATAGATCGTAACCAGTCAATTATAGTGCAGTTGTCACAGCTCTGATGGAGAAAGCACAGGCAGAGTATTAAGAGCTGTGTTGAAGGGAAAATGCTAGGGTCCCGGACACTGAGTGTCCAGAGGGGAGCTGGATCCAGTTGGAATGGTTTCAGGGAAGTGTGGGAGATGTCAACTGAAGGGGAATCTTTTTGTTGTTGTTTTTTTTTGAGTGAGAGTCCAGGCTGGAGGGCAGTGGCATGCTCAAGGCCACCACAGCCTCGACCTGCCGGGCTCAGGTGATCCTTCCGCTTCAGCCTTCCAAGTAGCTGAAACTACAGGCGAACGCCACCGCGCCTAGCTAATTTTTTTTTATTTATTGTAGTGACGAGGTCTCGCCATGTTGCCCAGGCTGGTCTCGAACAGTGGGCTGAGGTAATCCTCTTGACTCCGCCTCCCAAAGTGCTGGGATTACAGGTGTGAGCAACCACGCCCGGCATGAAGGGGACTTTTTAGGACTCTGTGGAGACAGACTGGGGCCTGGACAGCGCTTCTCTAACCTGCTTTTGGCCTCTGGCCTCAGATTATGACCCGCCCATCCGCGGCCAACAAGAACTTCCCGTACCACGTGCGCACGTCGCAGATCGCATCGGCTGGGGTCCCTGGACCAGGAGGAAGCCAATCCTCGGACAAGACCTTCCCGCAGCACGTCTACGGGAACGTGACGTTCATCAGCGACTCGGTGCCCAACTTCACGGAGCTCTTCTCCATCCCCCCGCCCGCCTCCT